TTCTCAGTTTATTTCTATTTGTTGTTTTCTCAGTTCATAATGTTTTATTCACGTTAAAGAAAATGTTCTTGAAAAGTTGTTACATTTTGTGTTCGTTTTATCAAATAAGTTTCATCTTAAGTTACAAACCAAATCCTGCTGCATTTAGCAGGATTTTATTTTTCAGGTTGTAAATTAAACTGAATCTCAGTAAATACACAAACATAGAACATCATCAGCAACACATAAGAACAAAATGATATAAAAAATATTTACAAATGCATTAAAAAGTCTTTCATCTGATGCTGAGCAGTGATGATCACATACGTATAAATAACATGCATATTTTACACACAAGTCGACAAGAATAAAAAGAACATGGGGTGAAAGTTTACTTACAAACATTTTACCTGAAGTGAAGATGTGCAGCAAACACACAAACGGTTTCATGGACAATAAATTACAAACAGCAGAAACTCACCTAAACACTGAAATCTGAGTCCATTCAGTGTTCAATCCAATCCAACTCGATGTTTTTCATGATTTTAATCTTTTGTTTAAACATAAATGATGAAACTGAACCACATCTATCCTCAGACAACACAGAATAAAATAAAAGATGTGAAACCCTCAGTCAAATGTAAATGTTACATTTCCTCAGTTTCGTCACATAAAGATGTAACTCTGAAGAGAATGAAATTACCTGCTAACTTCATTCTCACTAAAAAATAAAACGGGTTGGATCAGCAGATTAACTCCAAACAGGTCAGATTATTTAAGGTGATCAGGTGTGGAGACAATCAGGTCCATCAGTAGCTGCATCCAGGTGAGCAGCTACTGATGGGGATTCAGAGATCAGATTGATCTGATGGCTTATTAATGTTTAGATTAATCCAGACAGATCATCCTGGGGCTCTGAGCAGAACTTAAAGAAGGAGCCGAGCGGTACCGGTACCGGTCCAACTGGAGCTGCTGCAGGTCAGACAGCCATCCTTCATTTGAGCCATTCAGGTTTGTGAATCTGTTTTTATGAAAAGAAATAATAAATGTGCAAACTGATGCACATGATCCTCTGTTTAGACCAAAGAGGTTCTGGTTCTTTAAACCCGACTGAACTCGGCTGGTCAAAGCATTTCCACTTAATCTTAGTTTGTTTTTTTACATACAAAAATGACAAATTACCTTTATTGCTAAAACACGAAGCTAATATATGAGCCATATATTTATCTAATCATTTTAGATAAATGACAAAAATAAACACAAAGCATATTCAATAGAGAGAATTATTCAAAAGTCAGGATCATAATGACATCAGCAACATAATATTTATCACCCATAAAAACAGCTTAAAATGCATTTAGCTGGAATATTTTTCATTTAAATGTTATTTTCCTGAGTTAATTAGAACGTCTATTATTAAAAGTTAATTGTTGAATCTTTTGCCGAAGGAGAAACTAATTTGTGTCCAATGTTATTGTAATAATCCACTAGAACTCAGTTTTATCTTCCCCAGTGACTTTTATTAACTTATATGAAAATAATAAAGAACCAGCTAATATTTTTAAATATGCATAAATTTTAAAAATGTTGGTTTTAGTCATTTTTGTCATGGAATAATTGAGTTGAATTTCCACAACAGAATGACACTAAGACAGCAACATGTTTTCATCTGAAGTTTTAATTGTAAAAACTAGTTTTATTATATTTTTTCTCAAAATATCCACAAAATCCCACTGAAGAAAATGTATCCATCCTGCTTTTGCAAAAGTTTTATGCTTTTATTTTTTAAAACCCACAAAATTTGAATTAAATGGTTCTTCTTTGAGAATGTCAACATTTCCTGCTCCATGTTGATCAAAATGATAAATTGTCTCAACAGACTGTGTAACATTAATGCCTCCATAAGAGTTTTATTTTGCTGGACTGAAGGCAAAAATGACTTTTTGAGTTGTAAAGGTTGTCTAGAATATAAAATGTGCTGTTAGCAGTTGAAACAAGGAAAATTAGGAAATAATTCAAGTTGCATGAACACATGAGACATGTGAGCCTCCAAACATTTATTTTAAAGTTTTCTGCAGCCTGAGCCTGAGCAGACAAGCTGAGGGGCAAAACAATCCCTGCAGACACAGACAGACAAAACGCTGCCGGATGTTCCTGGAGGTAAATCTGCTCTGTGGTCCCGCTGGACTTCCTGTTAGCATTCATTAGCATTCAGCAGATTAATGAGCATGTTTGTCTCTGAACGGCTTCATGAATAAATGCAGATGATTTATTAAAGTTCCCTTCAGACAGCAGAGTTTTTACCTCACTGAGTTTAAGTTTGCAGTTTCAGTCTTTCAGTGCAAAGTTACTAATTCAGTCAAACTTTATAAAATACTTGACGGCAGTCTGAAGGTGCCTCTCATTTCACATTTCCTAATAAATACTGGATGAGTAAATGAAGTCATCAGTGATGAATCCATTTGAACTGATCTGTTCATGTTGCAGGAAAAAACAATCTGGTTGGAGTTTTAATCATTTTGGTGTTTAGTTTCGTGTTCCTCTACTTTATCTTATATATTTATATTTATTGAGTTTCCCTGATCCCAAAGTCATTATCCTCCCTCTGCTGCCCTGGTTTATGTCCTGGTTTCAATAATCAGCCTCCTGAGTCTAAATACTCCTTGACTCTCTTGTTTCCTTTCCAGATCCTTTGGTCGTCTTTCTGGGTCTCGTTTCCTTGAGGGTTTTGGTGAAAATACTTTCCGGTGTTCTTCATTTTCCTCTTGTCTCATTAGGTTTGTTTTCTTTTTTCTAAATAAAGAAGTTCTTCAGTCGGGTCCAAATCTACCAACACAAATCATGACAGATCTTTCTAACTCCTAAATAAAACTTTTTCTAATTGTCACTTAAATAAAAAGATATTGTAATTTAAAACACGTTAAAACTACAGACTCCAGTTTGTATGATAATGATAAACTTTGTTTCCTTGTGGAGAAACAACTTGGACCAAATGTATTTATTTATGCATGTTCTCACTCTGTTAGATGCGTCTTTAGTTGAAATGATGACACCTGCTGTGTTTTAATCCATGAATCTTGAACCCAGTGAGTAAAAACAGATGTCAGCCTCAGGGCCTGACGACACCACTTTAGGATCATCTGTAAAGGTTTTTGTTGCCAACGCTGAGCATTTTCAGAGTTCAGCAACGACCATTTATGAAACAGAGTCCCTGACTGGAAAATTTCAAAAAGCTGGTTTCATGTTTTTATTTGCATCCAAGCTGCGTTTTTAAAATCTTTTAATCTTTTTGCGTCTCTCTGAAACCCGCATGTTTCCCTCAATCTCACAAATAAACATGGCGCCGTTTTGTGTTGTCCGGTGTTTGTAGTGCTGTTTTGTGGCAGTGTTACAGCGCCACCAAATGGTCTGGCGTGTGTACTACAGTGTTTTCAGTTATCCTGTTTTATGGACACTTTTTTAAAAAATCATTTATGAAAATGCCCCGTGTTCGTCTCCATGTGGAGAAATACAGGCGAGTTAATGATGCATTTATTTCTGAACTTTGGTCACTAATTCATTATTTTCAGATAATCCTATGAGTTTTCTGAAAAAAGTTTAAAAGTTTTGTTCCCCAGACCTCTGTAGCATTTATGTTTATTTTTATTTGTTGTGATATTTCTAATCTCCAGAGTAAAAACATTTCTCTCTCTCTCACATTCAACCTTCTGTTTGTAACAACTGATTTTGTAATTAATCAGTTTTCTCTCATTTCTTTGTAGTTTTTGTTTATCAAAGGAGTCAAATGTTCATGTTTGTGCTAAAAAACAAAAGTTCCAGAAGTTCTCTGCTCTTTTGTTTTGAACAGTTCATGCATAATAAATGTATAATTCTCCATCTGGCAGCACAACTCTTAGATCCTTGTGACTGACAGAAAATCAGACCTACTGACGACGTTTGATTGATCGCAGAGATGAAAGAGACCAAACAAGTTTGGTGAATATTTTAATCTGTTTGTGTTTTTCTGAGTTTCTGGGGAGAAAATGCATCAATGACTGAAGTAATTAATAAACCAAAACGCTCTGAAGTCTTTGATTTTCAGCATCTGAGCTGTTAGAGTTGAGAACTTTGAGATGCTAATTTTATTTTAAACAACAGTTTTCTTTTTTCCTGCTGTTCTTTTTGTTTATTTGGACAAAAAAAATCTAAACCTAAAGTTCCTCAACATCCAACAGAATCCAGTCTGTATTAAAACTCAGATTAATTTTGATAATAAAAATGAGTTTAAGGAGATGAAGGTGTGCAGAGGAGAGGCGGTTCGTCCTGTTCCTCCTTATCAGCAGAAACAAAGATTAAAAATAAAAATATGTTTAATGTTTCTCTGATGCATTTTATTTTTTAAAACTGTTTTTTATTTTAGTTTTCTACACATTTCTTTATTTTAAAAATGTAAATATATTGTTTATGTTCAAATATTAATATGATTTATATGTGGAAATACAGCAGAAATAATAATATATTTCTGAACAGAAAATCCTCATATTTTCTACAGTCAAATAAAAACAGAGGAATTTTAATTTTAATAAAAAAAGATTATTTAAAAACTGAACCAAAAAGGAGTTTATCTTTTATTTATGGTTTAATTCCGGTGTGAAAACATTAGATTTTTATTTCAGATCAACGTCTGGAAAAGGGATTTATTTTCTCTTTTTTTGTGCTATTTTCTTTTAAATTATTGTTGGCTGTTATTGTTTATATGATAGCAAACAGTTTATTATTGTCTTTTTTTCCTCCATCAAATCACAGTTTATTATCCACAATAAACTGAAGTTTATCCAGTTTATTATGGATAAACTTCTACAGTTTATATATATATTTATATTAAATTACTTTTATTTTACAAAAAAAAGGTTAGTTCATCTTTTGTTAATATTTTGAGAAATTATTCTTCTCAACTGGTTTGGACACCTGAAAATTAATATTAAGAAAAAAAAATGGGTTTATTTGCAAAACCCAATGTTTTCCAAATATTTATAAATAAATTACATAAAATCATTAGCAGTGAAATAAAACTAATATTAGATCATTTTTTCTCTCAGTGACAGCTGCTGTCTCAAAATAATTCATAGTACTGGACATGATTCCAGTAACTTTGTGTGGAAACAAGTTCAGGATTTTTCTGCAGGAAAAACCTGAAACGCCTCACCTCCATGTCTGCATGGACCAATCAGAGAAGAGACAGCTTCTGATTGGAGGATGGAGCGGCACCGGACCCCCTGCTGAGTGGAAGAAGCGGCAGCTGAAATCTGGACGTTTGAATTCAGGATGAAACCAGGGAAACCGGCTGCAGGTCTCAGGTCTCTGAAAGTCTCTCCTTCTCTTCTCATCTCTGAACATTAATACACACCTGTGATGAGAACCTGCAGCTGGTTCTGGAGGTCCACCTTCTGCCTGATTCTCCTCATCCCGCCCGGTTCGGCTCAGCATGAAGACGGGAATTCGGTTCTGGAGCCCGGCTTCTGCCAGCCCATCTCCATCCCGCTCTGCACCGACATCGCCTACAACCGGACCATCATGCCCAACCTGCTGGGTCACAGCAACCAGGAGGACGCGGGGCTGGAGGTCCACCAGTTCTACCCTCTGGTCCAGGTCCAGTGCTCGGCGGAGCTGCGGTTCTTCCTGTGCACCATGTACGCGCCGGTGTGCACGGTGTTGGACCGGGCCATCCCGCCCTGCAGGTCTCTGTGCGAACAGGCCCGGAACGGCTGCGAGGAGCTCATGAACAAGTTCGGCTTCCAGTGGCCGGACCGGCTGCGCTGCCAGAACTTCCCGCCCCACGGAGCCGGAGAGATCTGCGTGGGTCAGAACAGGAGCGATTCTGCAAGTCCGGCCGAGCCGAACCCGACCGCCCGGCCTCCGTTCCTCTGGAGCGGCCAGCGGTTCTCCTGCCCCCCGCAGCTCCAGGTTCCGTCCCGCCTCAGCTACCGCTTCCTGGGGGAGGAAGACTGCGGCGCCCCCTGCGAGTCCGACAAACCCGGCGGACTGATGCACTTCAGCCAGGAGGAACTAAAGTTCAGCCGGGTCTGGGTCGGGTTCTGGTCCATTTTGTGCTGCGTCAGCACGCTCTTCACCATCCTGACGTATTTACTGGACAGAAGGAGGTTCGTCTACCCGGAGCGACCCATCATCTTCCTGTCTGGCTGCTCCTTCATGGTGGGGCTGGCCTACAGCGCCGCCTTCCTGCTGGAGGACAAGGCGGTGTGTGTGGCCCGGTTCAGGAAGGAGGGGTACCGGCTGGTGGTCCAAGGGACGGAGAAGGACGTCTGCACTGTCCTGTTCGTCGTCCTCTACTTCTTCAGCATGTCCGGCTCCATGTGGTGGGTCGTCCTGGGCCTCAGCTGGTTCCTGTCCGCCGGGATGAAGTGGGGCCATGAGGCCATCCAGGCCGGCTCTCAGTACTTCCACCTGGCAGCCTGGGTGGTTCCGGCGCTGAAGACCGTCCTGGTGCTGGCGGTGGGCCGGGTGGAGGGCGACCTGCTCAGCGGCGTCTGCTCTGTGGGAGTCCACAGCCTGGAGGGCCTGCAGGGCTTCATCCTGGCTCCGCTCTCCGTCTCCCTCCTCATCGGCGCCTCCTTCCTGCTGGCCGGCTTCGTGTCGCTGCTCCGGGTTCGGTCCATCATGAAGCACAACGGCACCGAGACGGAGAAGCTGGAGAGGCTGATGGTGCGGATCGGCGTCTTCGGCTCGGTCTACACGGCCTCCAAAGCCATCGCCATCGCCTGCCTGCTGTATGAACAGGCGTTCCGGCCGCAGTGGGACGCCACCTGGCGGACGCAGACCTGCAAACACTTCGCTACTCCATGCCCGACCCGAAACTCACCGCCGGCCTCGCCGAACTTCACGGTCTTCATGATCAAGTACCTGACGACCTTCACGGTGGGGATCGGGTCTGGATTCTGGGTCTGGTCCGGGAAGACGCTGCAGACGTGGCGCCGCTTTTCCATGAACGGAGAGGCGGCGGCGTGGAGGCGAAGCTTCCGGGACCGGAACCAAACCGGCAGGAACCCAAAGTGAATCTACCGAACCCGAACGAACTGAGGGAGGGAGGTTTTATTTTTACTCAATTTTACACTGAAAAAACACAAAATGTTACCAAATATTTTGGTCCAGTTTTTAGTTCAAATATCTTAATAAAAACCAAAATAACTTAGAAGTAACTTTTCACCCAGATTGACTTGATATGGAAAAGTATACATTGTATATCCTGGCAGATTATTTCACTTGTAACAAATACTTTTTCATTACTGACATAATACAAGCTCCTATATTTTATTCAAGTTATTAATAAGTTTGTGTTGTTTTATTTAAGTATATATAAATATATATAAAAAGTTTCTCCCAGCTGTTGTCATCCTGAACACAGATAATTTGTTTAAAACCTGATTTATTTTTCCTTATCATCCCAGTTGTTTCTCTGTGTTTCTACTATATTTTTTATATTTGAGATATAAAACTGAATATTATTTTATTCAGTTGTTTGACACGTCTTTGAGAGTTGCTACTTTTAAATTGGGTTGTGCTTTATTTTGTGCACAATGACAATAAAAGTTATTCTGTGGTTTTATGTGTTAAACAATGTTTTCACCAGAAACTCAACAAAAATGACTGTAAGATTTTCTTCTTTTCTTCTCTCAGATTTTTTCAACGTTTAAAACAACCTTCTCTTTTAAAATGATCAGTTTATATGAATTAAATCAGGGTTTGGCTGAACAGGCTCCTCTGAATCAATCGACTCTAAATGTTCCAGTTTGTTTGACATCTTTTGTAAAAACAGAGCTCAGGTCATGTGATTCCCAGGTTTGTTTTATCCAAAAGTTTATTTACAGAAACAGACAATAAAAACTTAAATCTACAGGGAACCGATGAGTTTGGAGCAGACAGAAGGACGATCAGTCAGTCTATCGTCACGTTTCCAGCAGTTTTTCACATGAAGATTAAAATACCAGAGATCTTTGTTCTCCGTCTGGTTTTGGTGCTGAGGTTGGAGTTTTTCTGTTTGCTCCACCGGCCGATGGGTTTTACCTCCCGGTTGGGAGATAAAATGTTTTCCTCCTCAGAGCAGCAGGAACGTCAGGACGTCGCTGCTGCTGCTTCCTAAACTGTCCTGGAGAGGCGAAGAATGGGAGACGGCAAAACATCTAACTTTAAACGATTCTTACATATTCCCACATTTCTGTCTGTGTAACATTTCTAGTGATTAGAATAAGTACAATGAATGTTAAAAAGTACATTTTTCATGTTTATTGAACGTTGACATCACAGGATGATGAGTGAAATGACCTTTGTGATTTGAGGAAGCGCAGCAGCAGGAAGGCAGATGTTCCTGTGAGTGAAGCCACAGCAGCTGCAGCGCCGACAGCAGCAGGAACCCAGGAGGAACCTGGAACTAAACCAACAAAAACCCTTTCAAAGTAAAAGCTTTAGCTCTGAAGACAAGCTTCTAAAGACTGTAGCAGTCAGTATTACAGCGGTTTGGAGGAGACCTCTCTGTCACAGAAGAACCGTTTGTGGTCAGAAGTTTACATACCCTCATCATTACTATGACGAATATGTAATTGGATTGGCACCATAACAGTAAATATTTTTATCTGCATCATAAATATGAAACATTCACATTTTCTCATGTGAATATTTAATTATAGCTTGAATATTTTTACTATATGTTGGTATTTTTAGCATTTTTCTCCTTTGTTTATTATTCAGTTTGATTATTGTCCTCAGTCAGTCTGCTGGTTATATTTATGTTTTAATTGCTGTTTGTAAGTTATATTCATATTATATGATGCTGCTGTTTTATTTCCTGTTGAGTTACTGCAGATGAAAAGTTTGAATTTTGGCCAAATTTGAAGGATTTTCAGCATAAATCCTGACAAATAAACTATTCGATTTGATTTATTCAGTTTAATTTAATTAAACTTAATTTACTTCAGTTAAACTCAATTAACAGAACTCAATTAATTTTAATTCAATTCAGTGTAATTTAATTTAATTCAGTTCAAGTCAATTTAATTATTCCAGTTACATTTGCTTCAGTTCATTTGGATTTGAGTTAACGTCACTTAACTGAATTTCATAAATTTAAATTTATTCAATTTGAAGGTTTTTGAAGAATTGTAATATTAGTGGGGTGTATGTAAACATCTGAGCCTGTGTGACCTGTTGTGTTCACTGTGACCCTCATTAATCGCTCAGTTTGTTTTATTCGCCGTTTTTAAAGTGATTCCGTGACTCCTGGGTTGCCAGGTTGGGTTGCCAGGTCGGGTTCGTACCCACCCGGGTGTTTCTGCATGCTCAGCATCGTGCCGCTGATCACCGCCTCCTCCTCGTTGCTCATCTCGCAGCTGTACAGCCCCTCCTGCTGGGCCGTCAGACCCCGCAGCGTCAGGCCGCCCGACGCCGTCACGGCCTTCACGTGTTTCCTCCAGGCCTCCGTCACGCTGTGGCCGCCGTCCGTCCGGTTCCTGCTCAGGACGATCCGGCTGCCGTTGAACCTCCAAACGAGCCGCGTCACGGTCAGGTTCCAGGCCGAGCAGTTGATGGTCACTTCCGCTTCCGGCACGCTGACAGAAACTAAAACCAGGACGCAACACATGAACGCACCTTGAAAAATCAGGTGTGTAAATTTATACTGTAAAAACACAAAATATGTCAATGTATTTTTATCTAGTTTTAGTGCAAATAAAAGAAAGATGTCTTAATGTAAATGAAAGAATCTGCCAGTGGAAATGGAGCTTTTCTCAATCAGTATTAAGGAATTATTAACCTGACATAAACTCCTATATTCTGCTCTAAAGATGTTTGTACGTTAGTTTTGTTTTCCTTAATATTGATTAAAAAGTAACTGTTATACTCTTATTACAAGATATTTTCTCAGAGTTATAGGTAAAACAATCTGTAAGTGGAACTATATTAAGGAATTATTTACATAAACAAGTTGCTATATCTTGTTGAAAAGATACTTATAATTAATATTTTGCCTTATTTCAGGTGTGCTGAGATGTTGGCACTAAAAATAGACATAAATTCTTGCTAATATTTGGTGTTTTTGCAGTCAGATGACCTGGTGTGAAGACGGTGACCTTCCTGCTGCTCCTCCTGGTGCTGAAGCTGCAGCTGAAGGTCAGGAAGGAAACGCCCTCCGACAGCATCAGGGAGCTGTTGATGTCGTAGCGCTGCTCTGCGGTGCGGCTCACTCTGATGGCGCTCTGGACGGTGGTGTTGGACGAAGCCCTGAAGGACCAGCTGTGCTCCGGACTGGGGTAGATCCCCTCTGAGCTGCAGCTCATCCTGTTCCCCGTCGCTTCGATTTTCAGTTCAGTGACCGGAGCTGCGAGAAAAAAGGAAAGAGAAAAGTGAGGATCTGTGAATGTTTTCTGCAGCAGTAAGCGTTTCTCCTACCGTCCACCATCAGGTTGATGAATGAGTGACTGTTAGCAGCAGAGCTGCTGGTGAAGCACTCATATCGCCCCTCGTCCTGAACTTTGACCCCTTTCAGCAGCAGAGAAGCGTTTCCTCTGGAGATCTGATCCCAGAAGAGAGACGCTCTGCCTCTGAAGCGCTGGTCCTGGTCCTGCTGACTCTGATTGCTGTGAAATGAGCGGACCGGAACCGGCCGGGCCTTCAGCTGAACCCAGTGGATGTGGATCTCTCTGCTGCTGTGGAAGCGACACGGCAGGACGCAGCTCTCCATGTAGACACAGGAAACATCGACGTCTGAAACGCAACATGGAGACATGAAACTAAACTCTACAACTAAATAAAGCAAATAAATGATAGAAAAACACATTAGAACATGTCAAACACTTAAATACAAAGAAAACATGATATACACTGCAAAAACACAAAGTCTTAACAAGCACTTTGTCTAGTTTCTAGTGTAAATATTTTGGTTCACTTAAAATACGACAAAACTAACATTTAAAGAAACAAACACGAATAAATAAAACCTTAATGTTGATGAAAAACTATTAGTTCCACTGCACAGATGTTTTCCCAAGATAAATAAAAATATTATTGAATCTTTTTTTAGTTTTGTTTTATTTCTAGTGCTCAAGATATTTAAACCAGAAACTCGACAAAAATACTTTTGAGTTTTTCAAGTTTTTGAAGTTAAATGTTAGAAAACTGCTGAAGAGCAAAAACATGCTGAATCAGCGACATTAAATATTAGATACATCAGATCTTATTATGTTAATAACAATAATTAAATAAGAAATATTAAGTATAAAGCATGAAAATAATTTATTGACAAGGATAATAGTAAAGAATTCTGAATAAAGATATGAAAAAATAAACAAATGTAAGAAACTATAAATTAGTGTTTCATACATTTATTTTTATCATCTATAAAAACTTAAATCAGACTGAAATGTTCCTGATGTAGGTCAGTTAAGGTCACCTAAATTATTTCTATGTACAGAACAATTAGAGATATATTTTAATGTTTTTCAAAGTTCACAGACATTTTTATGATATTTGGTAAAAACACCTTTAAACTACGTAACTTGGATCCAATCTTTTTCAGCTGTGGTTGTTTTAAAACGTCCTACAGGAATGAGTTTGATCTGATCTGACTGTGTCGTCATTTAACTGTCAGGAAGTCAAACTGGGACTTTCCCAGGATGCTAACCTGGTTAGCTTTTAATTTGGACCTGAACTGGAGTTTAATCTCAACGTTTCTGTGTGAAAATATGAATTCAGGTGTTCAGTAAATTTATTAAAATAATGTTTAAGTTCTGAAATGCTACTTTAGAGGTGAGTTCCAGAAAGAAAGGTAACTTGTAGTTCCCGTGGCTTTGAGGGAAAAATGGAAGCTTGACAATGAAATGAAATGTTTCACGTTTCAAAATGTCCAGTTCTTGGAAGTGGCAAAGTAATCTTTAAGAAAATAAGATGCAGAAGGAATCCTGTACGCTTCTGAGAAAGTCAAACAAAGTAAAGTGTCAGGAAGTTCTGAGAAGTGAATCTTTGAACACCTGAAAGGAACCTGTTCGTTCCAGGAAGGGAGAGAAAGGAACCTGTTCGTTTTACCTTCTAAGTTTAGGAAGGATTGGAGATTTTTGAATCCAAACCACTAAATAAATCTTAAATAGAGCCTCAGCTTCATCTTAATGTGTTGAATCTTTTCTTATTGATTAAACAATAATCAATAATGTCAGACAGTTGCATGTCTGACGTCAGGATAATATTTCATCTGTTCTGGATGAAAACAGACCAAACATCCGGAGACGAACCGAGGAGGTTCTGAAACAATAACCGTCTGAAACAGATAAATGATCATATTTACTCAATAACTGATCATTATTTATTCGTATTCTTGTGATTAAACATACAGAATAACCTGGTGTTTCATATGTAGTTACCAAATCTAAAGTTTTGAAGCCTTTTAAGATCAAAGGGCTGTTATTATAATAAACATATTAATAAAATGATCTTTTTATCTCTTCATGATATTATCAGGAGATTAAATGAATGTAAATTTATTTGGTCCCAACTGCATAAATTTAAGAAAGACACAAACCTGTCCTGCTAATAAATCTGACTATTTTAAAAATTAAATGCTTTGTTTATTGTTAAGCAGGTAATTTATTTTATAAAAATATTTAATAACTAATTCTGAGTTTAATATTTTGGTTCATGTACAAAAAGTTTGGAGACCAGTTAAGATTTTATTTTTAGAGAGAATCAGAGCTGCAGGAAAATAAATAAGATCAGATTTTAACTAAATGTTATTAATTCAGTTACATAAATATACTGATAAAAACTAAACATGATCTGACAGCAATGAGTCAAATGTTTGTTTTGAATATGTAAATAAAATATTACATAACAAAACACAACATCAAAATGTTTATTTTTATAAATTCATTTCTGTGTGTGGAAGAATAAACTTAATGCTTCAACCCTTTAACCACCTAAATAATATCACATTTATTACATGTATAATTCAGACATAAAACAACTAAACTCATATTTTATATTATCTATTTAACTTTAGTTACATGGATGAACAATTATTAATTGTTTAAATTTCACCAAACAAACAAACTAGCATCAATAAAAAACGCCAACAATAATTTACTAATATTATTATATATTATATTCAGCAATAAGAAAATGTTCATATGATAAACAGTTTATGTTAAATATAAAATTATTCACATCTTTACTGATACACAGAAGCTTTAACTCTGAATTTAAATATTTTAAACTGATTTAATTCTTGACAGATAAAAATTATCCTTAATATTAAACAATTCTTGAATATTTTCTGGTAATTGTTTATTTAAGACTAAAGAATTAGAGCTGTCTGTAGTTTTACTATGGAAATTAATTTGAATAACTTGGATTTTACAAATAGCCTGTTAAACATCTGAACTTATTGATTATTGATTTTGCTGTTTTTGTTACTGGCTGTAATGTAGATTTGTAATTATTGGCCCTATCAGGAACTTAGACAGGGTCAGATTAATGATCAGTACAACAATGTAAAATCAGGTCTATTGTTCCTGTTTGTGTCACAAATTCAGGTTAAGTTCAGTTTATATCAGAAAACTCATTTAGACATTTAACTGAAAACAAACATGTCAGCTAAGATTTCGTAATGATGAATTACAGGTTGGTGAGCTCTTCTAGAAACCTGCATCATATTTCTCCATCAGTGAATCGTTTACTGACCTGCAGACCAAACGGCCTTCAGCCACAGAAACAGCAGATTCAGCAGAAATCCGGAGCAGCTCAACATTTTCCAGCTTCATGTCATCAGACACAAAGACCTGATTGGAACAAATGAACCAGATTCAACGGGAAGAGACAGTTTGTCCCCGAGGACTGACTGGTTTTTCCTGATCAATATCAAATATATGACATGTTTGCATATAAGTTTTCCTTATGGGAAGCCATAGAGGACAAACTGAGTTGAGTCAACAATCATCTGCTGTGTGACGTTTGTTTCCTCGTCGCTCTGCAAACAGAAACAGAAGCTCAGCTGAGAAACTGTTTGTTTGATCCGTTACATTTTAAAACAGATTTATTTTTATTAGCCGAAACTAAAAACTAAATGCAATGATTTTAGAAAATAAATCTTAAATCTTGATTCATTTTTTTAGCCATCAGGTTATTGAATGAATGATTCTTTAAGATGAACATCAAACATAAATAACTGCTCCAGTTAATTTGGAGTGACATTTACGTTGCACTCAGAAATGTTTTATAATTTTCACTTGAAAAAGTCTGAATTAATTTTGCTCACTAAGATGTTTTTCAATTTTACTTACACATTCACACAAAATGTTCTCTTACTTTGCAAATAAAATGTTATTGGACATAAACCTGTTGCATCAGGTTCCCTCCTGCTGCCTAATCACATTTTATGCATTTATTAAATTAGAAATGTATTAAAATAGTTCAGAATACTTGGTGTGACAGATTAAGTTTATAAAATGACAAACTCATTCAAAGTAACACAATAAATATAATGTGCCATTTTAAAATAAAGATAAAATAATTAGTTGTAAAATTTAAACAATAACTGAACCAAGAAGTCATTTTTTCAGTGTGCAGCTGAGGAAGTTTGCTTTTAGTGAGAAAAACAATAATCCAAATCAAAACAAAACTTCTCCATGTGGATCTGATGAACAAACGGATCTTCACATCAGATATGAAACCAGTTCTTCACTTGTCTTCATCTGGTTCCTCCTGGTTCAGTTCCTGTTTGAACATCATGCCTGGTTTGTCGCCTGCAGGCGGAAGAAAAACGTCCTGCAGCGTAAATAAGATGATCTGTTTGGATGAAAGTGAAAATCCTGAAACTTTGTTTTCTGCTTCAAACTGGTCCTGACATGAAGTTTGGTCTCTTTGGTTGGTGAGTTAATAACTGACCTGCAGTAGAAATGTGTTGATGATAAAAGACAAAATGTTTTAAAATTTATTTGAAAAAGGAAAATGATTTAAAACATTTATCTGCGTTGAATCCTGCTGGTCTGCACTTCAAACTGAAAGTTTGATTTTTACTGCAGTGAATAAAACAGCAGAGATGAAGACAAATAAACTTTATTTAAAGCAACAGATCAAATTACATGTACAGGATAATTACAGAAAAATATTTACAATATTTCTGTTTCCAGAGTCGATCATTTGTTCCAAATTGAGAACCACATTCATCAAATCTTCAGTCAGGACAAAACAACTCGATATTAAAACACATTAATGAGAAAATAATCACAACATTTCAGGAAAAGAAAATAATTCAACAAATTATATAAACTTCAACTATTTTACAAAGATTGTGGTTTTGGGTATAAATTGAATCAGTGAATTTAATGTAACTTTGTAAACAAGCTGCCAAGTTTTTTTTTACTCATAATGTTGAAATGTTTAAATGTTTTTAAAATATAAAACATGTTAAGTTTTCCTTTTCAAACCAAACTGGTTTAATACTGACATGGTATAAAGAAAACTTTGGTTTAGGTCAGCAGTTCATCACAGTACAGGGCAACCACACACACACACACACACACACACACACACACACACACACACACACCTCATGTTTCTGGGCAGTGGCAGGAAGCTGGAGTGCCCAGGAAAAACCCAACGATGGCCAGGAGAACCCAGAACCTTCCTGCTGGGAGGCAACATTTCTACCCACTGCTCCACTGTGCAGCTCATTCCTCTGGGCTCCGTCTGACCCAGGATGATCTGATCGTTGAACCTCCAGACCAGGCTGGCTGCAGACCAGTTGGAGTCAGAGCAGTGGAGGGTTGTTGTCCTGTAGGGGGCGCTGGTCTCTGCTGCAGGGAAGCAGACAGGTGGAGAATAAAGTTTAGAGAGAGAGAGAGAGAAAGGTTTTAATGCAGCTCATTGCTGCTTGTTCTGATGAAAGGATTCGGTTAAAGTTTTATAAAGTATTCTTCCTCTAAAATTAAACCTAACAAGGAATAATTTTACTAAAGAGACTAACTACTTACATAATCTCCTCAAAGTTGCTCTCCTCTGGTTCCTCCTGGTTCTGATGCTGCAGCTGTAGATCAGATCTGGACCATCTGGACCCGTCAGAGAGCTGCTGATGTCATAAAGCTGATCTTCAGTTTTCTGGATCCTGGTAGTTTCATTCAGAGCCGTGTTGGATGGAGGCTCAGTGGACCAGGTGAGTTCAGGTTGAGGGTAGATCCCCTCTGAGCTGCAGGTGATCCTGTTTCCATCCTGATGGATCCTGATGTCAGAGACTGGAGCTGCAGGAGAAACAATAATTATTTGACCTTTTGGACAAAGAGACTTTTAGTGAATAATGTTCCTGTTACTGTGATGTTTGAATCCACATCTGTGTATTGCAGCTTATCATCTCAGTAAATCCTAGAATCACCAAATGGTTTATTTGTTTGTTATTCAGATAAAAAATAAAACAAATATTCAGTTTTTTTAACCAGGCTGATAAATTCTCTA